GGCCTCTGGTAGAGGACCCGAGCTCAGAGGATGAAAGAGAGAGAGAGACCGCGGAGGGTGAGAGGGGAATTTATTTATTTATTTTTTTTTATAGAGCTCCACTTTTCTTTTTACTTTACTTTCTGATTGTCACGTGGTGGTAGTGGTGACGCTGCACCTTTAAAGTGTTTGAATTGATGAAGTTTCAATACATTGTTTTGGTAAATGTCTTGGTTAAATCATGTGTTAAAAATAAAAGGTAAAACATGAAATCTGCAGGAAGTGATGGAGACAAAGATGAGCTGCTATTTCCTGTTTCCGCCTGCAGATGGCGCTCTGGTCTGGTCGTCTGGCGGCAGCGGCTTTCCGAGGTGATGCCCGGTGGAGAGGCCGAACGGCTGCGCCTTCTGCTCCTCCTTCACTTCGGGCCGCAGCCTGAACCCCCCCTGGAAACTGAGGTCAAAGAGCTCACGGGGGGCAAAGGTCAAAGGTCTCTCCGTCAGCAGGCCCCTCAGGCGAGCGCGCCATCCCTCCAGCATCTGGGCGCGAACGGCGGCGGGACAGTGAGCCGGATCCCAGAAGATCTGAGGAGCCAGAACCTGAAACCCACAGAAGTTCAGAATCCCGTTCTGAAGAAAAACAAACCAACATGGAGGACCTTTAGATTTCCAAACGTTTTTACCAAATAAACCCAGAAAACACTGGGGTCAGAGGTCAGCTTTTAACACTACCAGTCAAACAGACAAAAATCAAATAATTAAAATATCAAGAAAAACGTAAGTATTTATTGTATGGAGCTAAATTGGAGTCACAACATGTTTTCACAATAAAACAATTAGAAACATAAAAAATAAATAATTTTAAGTTGTAGAATATTTTTTTTAATGAAGAATAAAATTCAGTGAAAATATTCCCAGTTGTTGCATTCAGAGACCGTGGGAAATGGAAATGTCCTTAGAACATCATTGATATTTAATGTTTTTTGGTTTTGAAAAATAATGCTGATTCAAGCTGCTTATGTCAACATCACAACACAAAAATATGATTTCAACAAATTTGTGCAACATTTTCAGGTCATGTTATTTTTCAGGTAGCAACTGACTTACAGGACGAAATGAGAGCAAACACAAAGCAGGACTTGGCAGTTCCACTGGAGAGTATTGAGAGCGTGCAAACAACATATGACAGCAAAAGACATACGTTTGACAAGGACCCGACGAAGAACACAGACAACAGGTGAGACTAAATACACATGGGGTAATCAAGGGAACGACCTGGGAGACAATCAACGGGGAAGACGCAGAGACGGAGACACAGGAAGCAAACTGAACACAAAAACTCTAAAAATAACTACACAGAAACACGATCATGACACTGATTCTGGTTCTTAAACTGACTTTCCTTCACAATCCTGTCAACGCTTCGGTTCTCCCTGGTGCACCTTCACATTTTTCCTTCCACTCAACTTTCCATGAACATGTTTGGATACAGAACTCCTCTTTGGCCGTGACCTTGGTGTGTCTCACCTGCAGCGGCCACAGCGTGACGTTTATGTCTCCGTCGATGCCGTCAGACTGAAACATGGACTCTGGAGCTCCGGTGGTGAACGACAGCAGAGCCTTCTTGTCCTGGAAGGAAACACGGATCAGCAGCGTTCAGCATTTATTGTGTCAGGTTTGGTGAATTTTCCTGGGTGACTGTGACCTTGAAAACGCCCTTGCTGTAGATTTTCTGCAGGCTGAAGGCGAACCCCTGAGTGAGGACGCGGTCGAACCAACCCTTCAGGACGGCCGGGACGCTGAACCAGTACAGAGGAAACTGCAGAGACGACAGGAGAAATCCACTTTACATCCCATTCAAACGATACATCAAACAATCTCCTCTGGCAGACTGTGACTCTTTAAAAAGGTGTAAAGCGTTACTGTTTCACTGTTACCACCTCTCTTTTGTGAAGGAGTACATATTTTTATTTTAATAAGATATAAACCTCATTATAACGACATTAAGATTATAAATTTTTTCATTTTAACAAGATTTGAAGCAAATTCTGGATTTATTCCCAAACCCTGGCAGTTAAACACAGAGCGGCCAATCCAGCTAATGTGTGTAGAAGAATAATAAAATAATAAAAATGTTTGGATTTTTTGTTTGTTTTATTGTGATATAAACAAATCAAATACAGGCGTTAAGATCCAACGAACAGAAACAGAAGAAAATGTGTAGAAAAGAGTCCAGTGTGAGTCGTTCCTTCAGTACGGAGGGTTTTGATCACGTGGCAGAAGAAGAAATAAAAGTTAAATCAAACAAAAAATAATAAAATACACAAGTCCTTAATTACTTTACTGATCATAATAAATATAACAGCACTACCACTGATGAAGAGGAAAAAATGGATGATGATAATAACATCAATAGTAACAATAATAATAATAGTAATAATGGCAGTAATATCCAACAATAAAAACAATGAAAAAGATTGATGGTTGACTCAGTTCAAGTAGAATTGTTTATTGAAAATACAGGAAATTAAAGTGTCATTATTTACAAAATAAAACAAAGTTGGCACTTTTAATGGACTCTAATGCAACTTTGCAGTAAAAGTCTCATTATTTACTGAATGACAGTTCATGACATCAGTCATACATTCATACAGACTCCTTCATCTCCATAACAGCGTCATGTCAGGCTTATGCAGACCCCATCTAATAAAGTGGTACCGATGAGGTTCTGTTCTGCACTGAGGTCCGTTTTAATCAGAGGGAAATAAAAGCCGACCTGGAAAGGCAGGAAATAATTTAAATGTTCCAGCTGTGGACAGTTCCTGGAAACTTTCACCAGACTCCAGCCA